GAAGGTAGGCACATGGGGGGGGTACCCCATATATATATATATATATGTATATATATAAATATATATATATATATACGGTTGCAGACACCAATTCTCCAAGCAGCCGGTTGAGTTCGCTAAATGCCCAAGCTGTTCTGAGGCTTGGTGCCCCATGTATCCTGTGCATTGGATGCGAGCATTGGGCGGGTGAGGGTTTGGACTCTCGCATCTCGGACAATGCCGACGAGGTTTAGGGTTTCGACTCGCGCAAAGCAGGCATGGCTTCGGACTCTCTGAGCTTGCTACTTTGACATCTAGAATCTAGAGCTAGGCGCAAGGTTTAGGGATTTGGGGTTTCTGGGGTTAAGTACCTGATGCTGAAGACCAGCTACAAAAACAGACCGCAAGTACATCCATTCAAGGCTCAACAAAGGGGCTCAATGCTGGACCACATCTTGAGGCCAAAGTCTTCCGGTGCCTCCAGCCACCGCCGACTTTTTGGCAAGATCCCGCAGCGCCTTCACGGCACGACTCTGGGCTTGGTCACCATTTCGAACGCCGCTAAAGACACGCTGGCAGGCAAAACCCAGCCGGCAAAACCCAAGCAGAACCGTAAACCCGGAATGCACTCTGCACCGATCTTCAATCGCATGCAGCATAGTTTAGCTGCTTCGGAAGGGCACGCCCAGCTTTGACCTTCATAGGCCCTCTCAGCCTGGCCTTTACCGCGACCTCCGAAGCCCAGCTGAGCGACGTCTGCGAGGGCGAGGAGACCTGGGATTAGTTCGTCGATACTTGGAGGATCATGGGACTTCGTAAGTAAGGTTATAAGTACCCTAACTAGGGTTATAACTATAGTTACCTTATTTATAGCCCTAGTTACTAAGTCCCATGATCCTCCAAGTGGGGTCGTGGTCGACAGAGGGCCAGGTGACGTTTGGCAGTAGTTGTCGTTCGCGTCGTCATCGTCATCGTCAGCATACTGAAATTGCTAGAAGATCATGTAACCACCTTTCAATGCTGGCAGAAACGCATGCTCTGTCAACCCGCATGTCGACAAAGCACATAGGCACAGCCCATCAACCCTCCAAGCCAAGCTTGCACTAAAGCTTTTGGAAAAGCGAGATAAGGATGCAAGTTGCGCCCCATCGCACGGAGTGTACGTGCACTGGATGAACAACAACTAATGGCAAGCATATGCACGCGTTCGAATTTGTAAAGATGTTAGGATGAAGAGCTGTTAGGCTCCTCGCGCCGTCAGAATCATGTTTGCGCACATGGGTGGACAACTGCGCCTACTTTTGCTTCTTCTTGGGGTGGGGCAGGGGGGGTGGGAGGGGGTTGATGACGTTCTGTGTTTGAAGATACCCTATGAGGCTCTTAGGCGGGAAGTAGTAGATTGAAAGTAACACTGGCAAGACAGTACCACGTCTGTCACACGAAACAGGGTTTCACAGACGATTGTGAGCCTGCTAAAGCAATCCGTCAGGTGACGTGCCAAATCACATCATAACGTGTCCTTTCATGCCATGATATAGCATATCATGTCATATCATGTTATGTCATGTCATCTCCTATCACTTCAGATATGTCACGTCAAACGACGGGTTGCTTCAGTAGATTCTCAATCCGGACTCAATCTTATGTTAAACCCTGTTGCACGTGACAGGCGTGGTACTTTCGGTATATTCGCCAGTGTTACTTTACTCCCCGCCTAACAGCCTCACCAGGCCGTGAGCGCGACTAGCGTGTCCAAAACTCGAGTTGGTAAAGCCCTCAACGCAAAAAAAAATACCTTCAACAAATCCAAGACGAAGCCTGTTTCCTGTGCCAGGCGCGGTAGAAGCAATGTAGACGTCCTTTTCGCAGCGCCCCGTTCTCCCCCCCATGATACGCTCGCTATCCTATCATTGTGTGCATCGCCACTGCTGTTTTGAGATTACCCCTTTTACCCTGAACCGTACGTATACATCCTGAAAGATTGATGTCCGCTGCCATGGGGCGGCAGGACTGTCAGCAGGAAGGTCCGTGTCCTGGGCTTTAAAACTACGGCCCAACAAGACTTCACGCAATGGAGCACTCACCCTTGAGAAATTCTGTTGTGCCGCTCAGAATGCAAGGCACTTAATAAACAATAGAAGTACCGCGCTGCTCCCCTAAAAAAGAACATGTTGACGGCAGGCTCCACAAAGTGAACAGTAAACTTAACAGTAAAGACAAACATGAAACAAACCGGTCCTGTAGATCACATCAGATCTACTGAGCTACTCCAAGAGCACAATCTGAGCTCCAGTTGGTGTCATCCGAGGAGCAACTGTGAGCGGCTTGAGAAATCTCCAGCGATTCCAGAAGGCGCCCTGTCTCCGACATGTCGGGTGAGACGCGTCAAGGTTTAGGGTTTAGGGTTTCGGGTTTCGGGTTTCGGGTTTAGGGTTCAGGGTTTAGGGTGTAGGCTTTAGGGTTTAGGGTGCCGACAAACACCCAATGCAGGTCTTCCTGCCCAAGCCGATGCAAGTTGCCTGAGGATCCTCTGAAGGGCGACGAGGCGCCACGACACACCACAAACCACAAACTCCAAGTCCCGAATCAAAGCCTTTGAGCACCCTAAACCCTAAACCCTAAACCGTGCCGGTTCGTGCCTTGGCAGTTGATGGAGAGGACGAGATCCCCTCTGTGCCATCTGCCTCCTTGACAAGCAGTCTGGCTCACAAGCCGGTCTAGTCTACACATATATATATATATATACATAATATACATTGATGCAGTGCCTCCTCTTCTGAAAAAATCCGACCTCAAAATCATCAAAGGCACGAGGCAACAGGGTCGGCAGATAAATCGTTGAAGTGAACATGCCCGTCCGTACCATGTAAGCACGGCGCCAACAACCCAACAGTTGAGTTGTTTCTGTGCAGGTATCGACCGTCTGTATACGGACATATACAAATACATACACATATACTATCTATCTACATATATATATATATACATATATATACATGTACATCTTTATTATATTAATATATACACATATATATATATATATATACATACATACATAATATACATTGATGCAGTGCCTCCTCTTCTGCCGAGAAGAACTCTTCCTCACCTTCGCCGCAGCCTCGGCAACATGGCCCAATCAGAGGCGGGCAACGTCGGCTTTGGCGTTGCTTGCCTCTGCATCCCCTGCTAGTGTAGGGGCCTGAATACTTAGAATGGGGTTTTTGGGGCCCATTATAATATAATTACGATAAGTAGGACCCTATATTACCAACAACTTCCATCCCACTGCTCCCCGAGACCCAGCGGCTGCAGCAGAGCGACAAGCATCGTCCGTGCTTTGCTCCAACGCAGCAGAGAGGTCTCCACCTACGAGAAGGGCTGCGTTACTTGGGAGCTAGGATTAGGGGGACCCTTGGGGATATAGACCCTCTCAATAAGGTCCCTTTTAAGAGAGCCAAAAGTTGGGCTCAGAAGGGGTACCCTTTAAGGGGTATCCCTAATAATACTACCTAATACTTGTATCTTGCCTCGAGAAAGGAATTTGCTTCCGCGGCCGTTCGGCGGCTCGTTAAGAAAACTTCACCTTCACTTGCGAAGATGCCTGTCGCTCGTGCCCCAAATCCAGACAGCTCCATTCCATCAGATTCATCTGATGTGGCTCGCTTGCACCAAAGACAAATCGTGCCGTTCAAACTGCATGCTTGTTGCTTCAAGAAGGCGGCTTCACCGCTCGAGTGGTCGGAAAGCTGAAGTGACGCGCCATGTAAAACACGAGGAACTGTGTGAAGACTTACGCAGGTGGAATCACACTTTACCAAGCAGTCAAAACGCTGCCTTCGTCTGTATCCTGAGCTGATGCTGGCAAGGCACTCGAAGTGCTCGGGATGCTCCCATCCGCGATTTTCCGTTCGAGCCCAAGCCTCTTGCAGTGAGTGCACAAAAAGCAGGTGCTACACGCCTCGGGCTTGCAACCCGCCTCTTGAACTTGATGGAATCATCGTAGGCCCGGCAGCACTTCGGGCACTTGTCCAGCAAAGCGAGATGGCCTTCCACTCCTGGCCAGTACTGCCACAAAAAGCCTCTGTTCTCGGTCGGCATCTCCTCTCTGCACTTCTACTCGAAAACCTCATTGCACACCTCCTTCTAGAACCGGCATCTTCCCAAGCTCCCGACCTAGCAGCGCCATGGTCAAATGCAGGGCTGCAGCAGTGCCGTTGGAATTGCCTGTGTGGCAGCTGAGTCAGACGACTCGAGACTAGTTGTGACCTGCAGCAATCAGGTATCTCTCTTCTCCTGCTGCAGGCTTAGAGGATGACTTCGAGGGGTCTCTCTCCATCCTGCTCTCCTTCTGAAGCCCTGCGAGAGGAGGAGATACCTCCACTCCCTGCTGTCCCTCTCTTCTCTCTCTCTCTCTCTCTTCTATTCTCTCTCTCTCTCTCTCTCTCTCTCTCTCTGCCATGTCATCCACAAGCGATGCAGGGGTCTCGCTTGGCAAGGGCGCGGAAGCAGTGTGCACATTGCTGCAGGTCCAACAAGAGCGTGGCTGAGCTCAGGGGCTGCGGCAAGCCTTCCCCAGCAGAGGCAGAAAGAGTCCCATAGGCGTTTGGAACCGGACCGCCATCGAAACCACCAAACGCTACTCCGGAGGGGCGACATGCCTCTGGAGCCCAGAGATGGCAAAAGCGCCGCAGCCTCTGCTGCAAAACGCAAAGCCTCCTGTGGCAAAGGAAGATCATGTGAATAGCGATCGCAACCATCGTTGCGAACATGGTGGTGCCGTTAGCAGTCGCAGGCAGCATGAATCAGAATTGCCGCTATCGGGAATATGATAGAAGACATTATCGCAACGATGGCAGTGCCGGTAATGGCAATCACTGACAGAAGTACACTAATCATATTCTGACCTGGCATTGCCATACCAGAACCAATCAAATCAATTCCAGAGCCTTCTGTGGAAGCACACGAGAAGAGGTGGACTTGCACCTAGTTTGAATCGTGTTCGCATGGTTACACTGGTTACACATTGAGCGACTTGAGTTGAGGGGTCTGGGGTCAAACGGGGCTCGGCATAGACCTGAACAAAGATGCGAAGATCCTACTTGAAGATGTCTGTTCCAGTTCGTCTGGGTCCTCGTTGTCACCCTGCAGGCGTGAGATCTCCGCGCAGAAGAGCAATGCTCTGGCCCCCTCCTGGTCACCGCGTGCGTTCAAGATCGTACAGGCTCAGAGCCCTTAGAAAATAACAAATAAATGGGAACGACGAACAGAGAATCGGCCTTCACGTGTCAACATGCTTCCACAATTCCTGTCGTGTCTGATGGCCACCGCAGTTGGTGGGCTCTGTGTGCAAACACATCTGAGCCTGTAACGTGACAAGCCTGTATATGCGAATACGGCACCGTTTTGCACAGACGTGTGCATGCCCACCTATATTAAGCACCCTTAACCCTAAACCCTAAACCGCCGAACCTGCTAGAAACAGAGCAAAGCTGACCTCGGCCGTCTCGCTGGCAGGAGTCGGATGGTCTTGCAGCAGCTTCCTGGGCTTCCCGGCTCTAAGCGGTAGCGAGAGAGGCTGTAGCTTGGGCTCTGTTCTGGCTTTTAGTTTAGCCTCGGTGAAATTCTTGCCGTATCTATACTATACTATCAGACTATAAATATACGTTTCCACACTATGGTACACTCTACTACAAGGCCTCCAACAGGACATCGACTCGCTGCATACTATAAAATAACATGTTATAACATACGGTAACATACTCTAGCCCCTTTTTGCAACTGGCTTGCAACGTTACGCCCGGACAGCTGTCTCGCTCCACGCTGCAGTCGCGACAGCATACTATAGCCCCTAAACCCCTTAACCCTGAACCCTAAACCCTAACTAGCATGGTTTACCGCATGCACTCCTTCCGCTTGCTTCCGCTTCCTGATGCTGACAAGACGCTGCTTCAGCTGTCCCTTTTCCTCTGAGGGCATCGTGTGGAGCACGTGGATCTTCCTCAGGAGCCGGTCTTCAAGGGTGTTAGGGTTTAGGGTTTGGCGCTTAGGGTTTAGAGTTTAGGGTTTAGGGTTTAGAGTTTAGGGTTTCGACTCTCACATTCGCACGAAGCATGAAAGACTTCACGAACGACTGGGCCACTGAACAAGAACTACCAAAACTCAGCACAAAGGGCCGCCCACTCAATTGAAGAAGATCGCTTAAGCCTAAAACCCTACACCCAGCACAATTAATTCAACGATTGTAGAGGCCCAATGCACTGAAAGGCTCACGTCAGTTGAAGTAAACCAGCAACAGTTGATATCCACTCTTCCCAGCCAAACCGTAGCCTCCACAAGAGACTGGCCCAAACCCAGAGCTACAAATTACCACGAGACATGACAGCTGCTACTTTGGTATCTACTTGACTTCCAAGTCGGATCGTCAGATCTCGACAGCGAAATTGGAGTACAGCTACACAGATACAATGCACAAGAAGCACGACAATAAGATATTGGACACCGAGCCGACAATCCCAGAGGGACGGTCTACCAATACCTTTCGTTAGCAGTAGGTGCGCTATCTACTGCGCAGATTCGCTCAAGCTTACACATTCGCCGCTTCGCGGCTGGCAAGCTCTGCACTAGCCTTTCTTGGTGCCTTTCTGCACTAGAGTTTAGGATATACAGGCTTGAATAAAGCTTTGGGTTTAGGGCTTCCCATGGAGCCGGAAACGAGAGCCCGCAGCTTTGGGTTTTTGCGCTGCGCAGCACGCTAAAGATCGACAATCCTGTCTGCGACCACGGCATCCCTGCTCATCGGTTCAAGTCCCACGAATCATGATCTGGCAGGCGGCGCATCGTCGGCTTTGCGCACATCGCCCTTGCACCATGCCTGCGCGCACGCCAAGATCTCAAATTCCCCTCGCCTACGAATATTTCTTGATAAACACCCTCCATTAATTGACGGATTAAGGGTCCGTTGGGCACTGTACTTGTATGTACTTGTAGCGATGCAACCTTTGTGCACGGCGGGCAGAAGCGATTTGGAAGTTCTGTCGGGTTGCCGAAATATGCGTGCATTTCCGCATGGTGTTGGGGTCTAGCCTGTGGGATGTACTCTTGGGGCACCAGCACTTAATCCTATTCTCGAGACACTCCGAGACAAACAACCTAAGACCAAGCCCTAAACTACTGCGAATGTAGCCGGAAGGTGGAACGACCCGGGAATAGTCACGGCTCCCATTCTAGGTAGTATGCTCATCCACTGTCACTCTCACTACAATTTGAGGCAGGTGGACATTGGGCTCCTCCACCGAAACAGAACGTTGGGCATTCCCGAAAATTGTCCCTAATACCGGTGCCGCAGCCTGCACCTCTGAAGCGTGGCTCATCCTGTACTGCTTCAGTGCACTGAGTCAGCGCTTCAGCTCAAGGACGCCCAATGAACCAGACACTGCCCACAAGACTTACCCTGTCAAGGACAAGTTATGTATGCATGTTATGTGTCTGTCTAAGAAAACAAATAGATAAATGAACGAAAATAAATATACACTTGTGTGTATGAATCTAGATATGAATCGCTACAGGTAGGGCTTGGGGCTGGTGGCTGTCGACGCTTTAAGAGGGGTAAATTGGGGGGCCCCGGCTCAGTCCTGAGCTGCTGCCTCAAACTCCTTGGTCACAGCAGCAACCTGAACCCCCAAACCCCCAAAACCCTAAACCCTAAAACCTTTAAGCCCTAAACCCTAAAATGCCTCAAACTCCTGGGCCATAGCAGCAACCTGAAACCCTAAACCCCTAAACCCTAAACCCTAAACTCCAAACCCCGAAACCCCTAAACCCTAAACCCTAAACCCCTAAATCCGAAACCCTAAACCCCTAAATCCGAAACCCTAAACCCGAAGATGCCTCAAACTCCTGGGCCAGAGCAGCGTCAACTCTCGACTTCAACTCTCCCGACACGCTGGGGGCATCCTGAGTGGGCCGAAAAGCCTCCCTAAACCCCTAAACCCTAAACCCTAAACCCTAAAACCCCTAAACCCTAAACCCCTAAACCCCTAACCCCTAAACCGCCTTAAACCCCTAAACCCTAAACTGCGAACCCCTAAACCCTAAACCCTAATTAAACCCCTGAACCCCCAAACCCTAAACCGTGTGCCGCTCGGCCCTGTTGGGTATCCCCCTCGGCACTGTTGGGTATCCGGTTTGGGACACTAGGGAACCCTAAACCCTACCGCCTTCCGGGCTCACTAGGTGCTCCGTGTAGATGGGTTTAGGGTTTAGGGTTTAGGATTTAGGGTTTAGGTTGTATGGGACCTAGAAGGAAATGATACTACTAATTTGCAGGGTTTAGGTTGGGGGCTGGCGGCTAGAGCCCACTAAACCCTCCGAAACGGAGTCACCCTCAACATCAACATCAGCTCACTCGCAATCAGCATGTGGACCTGTTAAAGAAGGTCGCCACCGCCATGAAGAAGACTGCGCCGAATGGTACCACGAGAGTGAAGCTGTCACAGGATGCCGCCTTTACGGTCTGCCATGTCTGCCAAGCCTTCTGCCTCCGTTTCTCTCACCTCCCTCCTCCCAGCGATGGTACGATGATAATTAAAAAAATCAGCTATAACCCTAAACCCGATAAACCCTAAATCAGAACCCTATAAACCCAACTTGGACCCAACGCTAAACCCCACCTGACACCTCAAACCATCTCAAGCCGTGGACTCCAGCTCCCTCTTGCTGCCAGCTTCAATCGAATCTTGCAGTGCCGCCTTCGTCGCCTCATCCAGCTGAGGACCTGGTTGGGTTTAGGGTTTAGGGTTAGGGGTTTAGGGTTTAGGGTTCAGGGTTTAGGGCTGGCATGTGCTACTGCTTTTTCGTTCTTCAGGGCTCTGGTCGGCCTCGGGGTTTGCAGTTTGGGGTTTGGCTGCAGGCTAGGTGTGTGTGTGGAAACTCGGCTGTCGTTTTCTCCTGACAGAGTTGTGACAAGTTTCTCCGTGAAGCTGGTTTGGATAGGATAGATTGGTATATGGATAGACTGAGGGAGGAAGGGACGGAGGGATTCATGGAAGGATGGAAGGATGGAAGGAAGGAAGGCAGGATGGATGGATGGATGGACCGAAGGGCGGACGGATGGATGAGTAGCTGGACCGGTAGCTGGATGGAGATGGATGGATGGGATGGGATGGGATGGGATGGGATGGGATGGGATGAGATGAGATGAGATGAGATGAGATGAGATGAGATGAGATGAGATGAGATGAGATGAGATGAGATGAGATGAGATGAGATGAGATGAGATGAGAGGAGTCCCGGTTTTGGCTACCTCGCTGTTCCACAAGTCGGGACGCTCGGTCTCTCATGGCATACAGGGTAGGTTGATGTTCAAGGACTACAGTCTGAGACGAACGAATCCTGATCCCGAGCTCTTCTAAGGCAAAAGAAGTACGGGCTATGTTGATTACAAAGATTGACAGAGCTCGCCTTGTTGCGCCCTGCGTTCGAGGTGAGACAGACCCTAGTTTTTCACCGCTCAAAGGAAGCCGCACTGCCAAGGGTTTAGGGTTCACTAAACCCTAAACAGTACTTACTTGCATTGCTCATCAAGAACCTTACCTCCGTACAACACAAGTTCGTGCAACCCACAACTGCTCAATCTGCCAGTCGCAGGGCTTGGACGGCAATAAACCCATGTTCAGACCGTACATAGGGTGGTTCCAAAATGCGGCTGCTTCTGCTATGGAAGTCTTATAAGACTGGAATGCCGTACTACGAGGTGATTTCTGAGGATCTACAAAGCAGCACATTACTTGTAGGGAGAGTTGTTTACAGACCCAACCATCATCCCTCTTTCTCTACACCTACCTCATTCCTGCACAGCTGAATCCGGAACCCTTTAACCAACAACTCGTGTAAACTCAATATCCCTAAAGGGCCAAAAAGGTCCTCCGTACCTAATTAACCTGACCCGGAATTCCTAGTATAGAAACCCTACTTCCTACGTCTTACTTTGTAGTCCTAAACCCTCAACTCGAAATATAGGAGCCCACCCCTTTGCACTGTGTAAGTAGTAATAGGATAGGAGCGTGAGTAATTACGGATATTATGCTGCAGGGTTGCGCAGTGTACGCAGACTGTTACAAACCCCAAAACCCTTGTTCTAATAGTTCAGGCCCCGTTTCGAAACCCTTATAGTAAACCTTATATGCAGAACCCTAGTCTAATTTTGAAATCCTAAACCCTAAACCCTTATAGTAAACCTTATATACAGAACCCTATTCTAATTTTGAGATCCTTTGGTCTGCATAGCCAGGTCACCGAAATCACGAAGGTACACTGCTGGAGACACCTGGCGCTTTGTTCGGCCGTGGGATGTATAGGCCTCAGGGTTTCATGGACCAGCTTTGGGACAGCAGGTGCTCGGGGTTGAGAGCTTGAAAACGAGAGGTAGTTAGGCGAGGACTACAAACGACATAGTGGCTGAAAGGCCACAGAACCGCCTCAATGTTCGACTGTGATTGGCTTGCCCGGCCAGCACGGAGCGAGTTTATGATAAGCCAGGGAACTGTCATTCCTAGTTAGTTTGATGGGGCGTAACATGGTGTTGGGATTCCTGCATGTGCAACGCAGTCTGAAACACCAAAAGGCTGTCTCTGGCTGGATCCAAAACCTGGGAGGCATGCATTCCAGGGAGGTTGATGGATATTCGGCACCTTATATGTACCAGCATCTGCGAACCCGCCCTCCTTTTGCCCCGACACGTATGGTGTCTCTTCCCGTTCCTGCAGAACTGCTTCGGGTTCGGGGTGGATGGTTCAGGGTTCATCCTACCTCCCTGCTGCAGACTTATCTGCTTTTCTAAGCCCTTTGTTTTCTGGGCGTAGTAATGATACCAACAAATTCACGGTGTGTAAAGTCGAGTTCTTCCATGCCAATGCCGATGAAGGGTTCGCTTCTGTCTGTGTACTCAATTGAACCTCCGATGAACTTCTCTTAAGCATCCTTTGAGAGCAATTGAGAACC